TTAAAGAACCATAAGAGCTAGAGCTTAGATATTTGGCATGAAACATCTTCTAGTGAATGTCTACCAAGTTTGTTCAAATAAAAGCCCTGGGGTCAAAATTGGCCCCGCCCCAGGGGGTCATTGATTTTCCCTATATGCATATAGTAAAAACTTAAAAAATCTTCTTTTAAAGAACCCAAAGAGCTAGAGCTAAGATATTAAGCATGAAACATCTTCTAGTGAGTGTCTACCAAGTTTGTTCAAATTAAAGCCCTGTGGTCAAAATTGGCCCCAGCCCGGGGGGTCATTGATTTTCCCTATATGCATATAGTAAAAACTTAAAAAATCTTCTTTTAAAGAACCATAAGAGCTAGAGCTTAGATATTTGGCATGAAACATCTTCTAGTGAATGTCTACCAAGTTTGTTCAAATAAAAGCCCTGGGGTCAAAATTGACTCCGCCCTAGGGGGGTCATAGATTTTCCCTATATGCATATAGTAAAAACTTAAAAAATCTTCTTTTAAAGAACCCAAAGAGCTAGAGCTAAGATATTTAGCATGAAACATCTTCTAATGAGTGTCTACCGTGTTTGTTCAAATAAAAGCCCTGGGGTCAAAATTGGCCCCGCCCCAGGGGGTCATTGATTTTCCCTATATGCATATAGTAAAAACTTAAAAAATCTTCTTTTAAAGAACTCAAAGAGCTAGAGCTAAGATATTTAGCATGAAACATGTTCTAATGGGTGTCTACCAAGTATGTTCAAATAAAAGCCCTGGGGTCAAAACTTGCCCCGCCCGGGGGGGGGGGGGCGGTCATTGATCTTCCTTATGTGTGTATAGCAAAAACTTAAAAATCTTCTTTGAAAAAACCCAAATAGCTAGAGTTTAGATATTAAGCATGAAACATCTTTAAGTAAATATCTACAAAGTTTGTTCAAATAAAAGCCCGGGGGTCAAAACTGGCCCTGCCCCAGGGGTGTCATTAACTATAATTATGTGTATAGTAAAAACTTTAAAAATCTTCTTTTAAAAAACCCAATGAGCTAGAACTTAGATGTTTAGCATGAAACATCTTCTTATGGGTGTCTACCAAGTCTGTTCAAATAAACAAATAAAAGCCCTTGGGTAAAAATTGGCCCGGGGGTGGGGGGGGCCTATATACAGGTGAGCGACCTCAGGGCCATCATGGCCCTCTTGTTTTACAATTCTTTGCACATTCCATCAGTTTTTGTTCACTTATTTTTGGCTGAAATAGTGAGAGAAATGGTTTTATCTTAACTTAGACATTCACAAATTATGACAAGGTAAAAGTTGTGTTCATTCCACCAAGCAGTCAAATTACAAAAATGGAACTTATGTTAATGTGCTGCTCATTTTTTGAGATTTTGATGTATTATTTTCATTGTGTTTTTAGCTCACCTGTCACAAAGTGACAGGGTGAGCTTTTGTGATCACTTTTCGTCCGTCGTCCGTCCGTCGTCCGTAAACTTTTACTTTAAATGACATCTCCTCATAAACCACTAGGCCAATTTCATCCAAACTTCACAGGAATGTTCCTTTGGTGGTCACCTTTAAAAATTGTTCAAAGAATTTAATTCCATGCAGAACTCTGGTTGCCATGGCAACCGAAAGAAAAAACTTTAAATATCTTCTTTTAAAAAACCCTAAGAGCTAGAGCTTAGATATTTGGCATGGAACATCTTCTAGTGAGTGTCTACAAAGTTTGTTCAAATAAAATCCCTGGGGTCAAAATTGGCCCCGCCCCAGGGGGTCATTGATTTTCCCTATATGCATATAGTAAAAACTTAAAAATTCTTCTTTTAAAGAACCCAAAGAGCTAGAGCTAAGATATTTAGCATAAAACATGTTCTAATAGGTGTCTACCAAGTTTGTTCAAATAAAAGCCCTGGGGTCAAAATTGGCCCTGCCCCGGGGGTCATTGATTTTCCTTATATGTGTATAGCAAAAACTTAAAAAAATCTTCTTTGAAAAAACCCAAATAGCTAGAGTTTAGATATTAAGCATGAAACATCTTCTAGTGAGTGTCTACAAAGTTTGTTCAAATAAAAGCCCTGGGGTCAAAATTGACCCCGCCCCGGGGGTCATTGATTTTCCTTATATGTGTATAGCAAAAACTTAAACTCTTCTTTGAAAAAGCCCAAATAGCTAGAGTTTAGATATTCAGCATGAAACATCTTCTAGTAAGTGTCTACAAAGTTTGTTCAAATAAAAGCTCTGGGGTCAAAACTGGCCCCGCCCCAGGGGTGTCATTGTTTTTAGCTCGACTATTCGATAAGAATAAGTAGAGCTATTGCAGTCACCCGAGCGTCGGCGTCGGCGTAACCACTTATGTTAAAGTTTTTGTAATAGTTCAAATATTTTCAAAGTCCATTGACATATGGCTTTGAAACTTTGCACACTTGTTCACCATCATGACCCCAACCTGTAGACAGGAGAAGGTAACTCTATCAAGCATTTGGACAGAATTATGCCCCTTTTTCGACTTAGAATTTACGTTAAAGTTTTTGTAATAGTTCAAATATTTTCAAAGTCCATTGACATATGGCTTTGAAACTTTGCACACTTGTTCACCATCATGACCCAAACCTGTAAACAGGAGGAGGTAACTCTATCAAGCATTTTGACAGAATTATGCCCCTTTTTCGACTTAGAATTTACGTTAAAGTTTTTGTAATAGTTCAAATATTTTCAAAGTCCATTGACATATGGCTTTGAAACTTTGCACACGTGTTCAACATAATGACCCCAACCTGTAAACAGGAGGAGGTAACTCTATCAAGCATTTTGACAGAATATGGCCCTTTTTCGACTTAGAATTTACGTTAAAGTTTTTGTAATAGTTCAAATATTTTCAAAGTCCATTGACATATGGCTTTGAAACTTTGCACACTTGTTCACCATCATGACCCCAACCTGTAAACAGGAGGAGGTAACTTTATCAAGCATTTTGACAGAATTATGCCCCTTTTTCGACTTAGAATTTATGTTAAAGTTTTTGTAATAGTTCAAATATTTTCAAAGTCCATTGACATATGGCTTTGAATCTTTGCACACTTGTTCACCATCATGACCCCAACCTGTAAACAGGAGGAGGTAACTGTATCAAGCATTTTTTTTTACTATCAAGCACTAAGAATAGTCGAGCGTTGCTGTCCTACTGACAGCTCTTGTTAACTATATGTGTATAGCAAAAAATTAAAAAAATCTTCCTTTAAAAAGCCCAATGAGCTAGAGCTTAGATGTTGTCAATGGGGTCAAAATTGGCCCCGCCCCAGGGGGTCATTGATTTTCCCTATATGCATATAGTAAAAACTTAAAAAATCTTCTTTTAAAGAACTCAAAGAGCTAGAGCTAAGATATTTAGCATCAATCATGTTCTAATAGGTGTCTACCAAGTTTGTTCATATAAAAGCCCTGGGGTCAAAATTGGCCCCGCCCCGGGGGTCATTGATTTTCCTTATATGTGTATAGCAAAAACTTAAAAAATCTTCTTTGAAAAAACCCAAATAGCTAGAGTTTAGATATTAAGCATGAAACATCTTCTAGTGAGTGTCTACCAAGTTTGTTGAAATAAAAGCCCTGGGGTCAAAATTGGCCCGGTCTGGGGGATCATTGATTTTCCTTATATGTGTATAGCAAAAACTTAAAATCTTCTTTGAAAAAAACCAAATAGCTAGAGTTTAGATGTTTAGCATGAAACATCTTCTAGTAAGTGTCTACAAAGTTTGTTCAAATAAAAGCCCTGGGGTCAAAACTGGCCCCGCCCCAGGAGTCTTTGTTTTTAACTTTATGTGTATAGTAAAAACTTAAAAAGTTTTCTTTTAAAAAGCCCAATGAGCTAGAGCTAAGATGTTTAGCATGAAACATCTTCTTATGGGTGTGGGGGGGGGGGGGGCTATATACAGGTGAGCGACCTCAGGGCCATCATGGCCCTCTTGTATTGGTATTATTATTGCTGATTTTGTTGAAATGTTCTGGTATTAACTAGTCTTCCAGAACGTTGTTGCTGGTCTATGAAATAATATTTTTAAGTACATGTATATAGGATTTGAAAAACGACAGCATTGTGTTATATTAAATAAGATAAAAGTATATTGTGTATTATTGTTATTTCAGCGAATGACACATACATGTATTATACATTTTTATCACATACCGGTAACGCTGTTGCGACTCTGTAAAATGGTTTTGCACGGTCCTGAATATATTTTGAGGCTCATTTGCGTAATACAAACATAGTGTAAAGGCGCGCTAACTTTAAGCGTTACACCATAGGCACGTCATTGAAAAATGATTCATTCTAAAATAGTCTTTTTGGGTATGTCAAATCACTTGCCTCTCACCGCTGTGGGTTCAAATCCCGACAGGGACTTGATTTTTTTCAGGTGAGAAAGCTGTCTAGTCGGTGACTCTGCTCAGGTGCACGTTCGTGCCTGAAATAATTCACAGAAGGGCACCTGAGGTCTTCCTTGATCAGTAAAGTTCGAAAGTCGAAATATGACCTTTACTGTGTTGGTTCGACGTAAAACCCAACAGAAAAAACTTAAGGTTTGTGATGAATATAGTATTATATTCGTGTAGGTTCATCAATGAATTTATCAAACTAGTTCAATGAATTCCGTACCTAGCCTTCACTCATTCATTATCCTCTATATAACATGTATAAGTAGCATTATGTCCTCCCTAAATTTGTTAGTCCAAAAAAAAATTATTTCTTTCTTACGACTTATATATTATAATCAAGGAACTAGAAGAAAGATTTAATAGATTTGGGTTTACTACTGCTCAGTTCATCAGTATAATACAACATTACATCTCGTAATATAATACCATATCACAAGAACGCCTTAATAGTACTCGAATATTCTTACGTAATATTATAAATAAATTCTTATATATAGATTCTGTAATGATCATTGTCGTATTTGATTGGCTAAGAAATATCGGCTGATCTGGTACGTACGTTTTTTGATTGGTTAAAACTAATGTTCATCCTTGTTTGATAATATTCAGACGCCATTTTGGAACAGGATTATTAGAATAAATTCTTTTGGTAATTTAGATTTTCACATTTAGATAACACATTTAGAATAAAACGTAATTATGTATTATAATACAATAAACATAACTTAAATTTTGTTCATAAAGCACTTATGAGTAAAACATTCATTTACATGTATATGCTAAGAAATCATAACATCATTTCGTTCTCGAAACCAAAAGTGGTCGATAAAACAACATTAAAAGCTGAATAAAATAGGACTAAAAGGTATTTTAAAACTGTCAAATAAATATGAATTGAACGTTAATTAACATTTACATACACATTTGTTACTTAAACGATAAAATGATAAAAACAAAAACAGGTACAACATGTATTTATTCTAGTTATGAAACTTACTTGTGACTTTAAATATACCAGGAAGGAATATATTTTAAAGGTAAACTTTGTTTACTTGCTTGTTTTGATAGTATACGATGTTTATTGATATGATAATAAAATAGTTCAGATAAGAAACCGGTAAAAGAGGAAAAAGCTCGTTATGTATCCAAATCACCAGGACTTGATGATAATGATAGGTTCTGAAGAAAATAACAGTGTCGTAGCATAGTGAATAGTTTAAATATCGTATACTTAGCCGAAAATTTAGTATTTTTCTTTGTTGCCAACATAAGAACTAGAAGGGGAGTGGTTAAGGTGTCTGCCTCTTAACCCAGAGATCATGGTTCGAGCCCTAATAGGCTAACGACCATGTTTCTTCATATGACATCAGTACTGGTTGGTTCCAGGAACTGGACTCGTAAGTGATTAATATAAGTTGCAAGAACTTGTTTCGCAATCGAGCTTAAATAAATATGTTTAAACCAGGCACTAGAAAGGATCAGATAGTATAACTTTCTTCTACTGAGGTGGAAATTTATGTCGAAATATTCACCATCTTTGGTGTTTTCACTATACTTAAAAGAACCAATGATAGCAGTTTTGTATAACTAAAATTTGCCAAGAACAGTTTTAATGAAAAAAAACGGCATTAAATGAAACACAGGTGTAGAGTTATTATCACTATTGTCACTTATTTCTAGAATTTAAGCCTGATATTATTACCAGAGCTTGGTATTATCCTCGGTCTTGGATGATTTGGATACATACTATGCACTTTAAATCCTCAAATTTAAAACGGCAACTACTTAAAATGCTATTAATTTAGACATTTAATGTGTTATTAGAGAAAAAGCTTGAATTGAAATTAAGATTTTATGTTCCATAAAGACGGTACAGAAAATGTAATACATGTAGTTAAACTTAGCATATATTGAACTATTAATCGAGTGGTATTCCGGGTTTTACAAAAATAGATCAACGCGGAATTATCTTTACCCCAAATAGCATACCATTATATAAAACGCAATGAGTATTATCTTAAGTAAACTACTTTCACGGAAGGTAAAAGACGCAAGGGATGTAAGTTGTACATCTTTTAATTATTAAATGTTTTTTTTCTGGTCTTAACATATTTAAGCTCGATTGCAAAACAAGTTGTAACCATCAGTTACCGTTACTCAAACATAATTTAGTGTTCAGCTTATTATGGTTAATTATGGTTAATTCAGTTGAACTTAAACAATAACAAGTCGGACGTATTCCCAAATGACGCCATCAAAGGGCGCCAACTTGAATCTGATTTTAAATAAAGGCTCTAACCAGCATTTATTGGTTGAAGGCGACGACCGTATGAATACATCTGCCTACGGATGTCTTTTTCCATGTCATGTTGAATAATGTCCGGTGATAGGGGGCGCTGACGTTAGATTGTACTTCCCAGTACCGTCAAGAAACAGACTCAACCGTTATACATGTATAATTTTATTTAACCAACTGTGGGAAAACGAAAGTTTAAAAATAGCTGGTACATTAAGATAAAGTTTAACGTTGATTATCGTTTACATATTGCGCACTTCTTTTTGGGATCCCTTTCCTAAGTTTTTAGAAGTTCAGAGCGTTATAAAAAATAGTGTTTTTTATAATTGCACAATTAACATTTAACAAATCATATAAAAGTGTATGTATAAATAAATGGTGTCATATGTGACTCACTATTGTTAAGTGTACACATACGTCATAAGTTTGCAAAGTTTATAGTAACGGGTGTACACATACGTCATAAGTTTGCAAAGTTTATAGTAACGGGTATATATATATATATATATATATATATATATATATATATATATATATATATATATATATATATATATATATATATATATTATATATATATATATTCATTGAATGGCAACTGATTTATCGAGAGTTCGGAAACGCTTATAGTTCGGAAGGTCATACTGCAAGTTTAAAAAATAATGCACAGCTTCAAAAGAAAGGACATAAATCTTAACGTGAAAATCTTGGAATTATAACTGATAAGCCTAAATACAGGCATTACGCTTGTATAGCATCTAGAATGTCGTCTTATGATACTTGGCCAGCAATATTTGTAATACCGACAATTGACCATTGACAATTGATCGGAGGCTTGGTTTACATATACGGGAGTGTGTGACTCTGTAAGATGTTTATATTGCGGGATAGGGATAAAGGATTGGCCATAAGGTGATTGTCCTTGGAAACAACACGCTAATGCGGACATGTCATTCAGAGTAAAGAAAAAGGATATGTTAATTGGATTACGGAAGAAAGTGATGAATATGATATAGTGATGACGGTGTCTGTGATATTGACAGTAATTTTGACACAGCACTTGTAACTGGCTATGAAAAGAAGTGAGGATTCTATAAGTGTAGCAAGACTGTATGGTTCAAATGAGGATATCATCAATACAGCTATTTAAAGTTTGATAAAGCAGGATATATTGAGATTATATCTGCTGTTATCTTTGTTACAGCTGTTGTAGAAGAAATTAAAGAAAATCTGGAATAAGATGGTAGTTATTCCGGGACAGATGGTGATTTTAAAGAACAGTCCATTGAAACAACCATGGTGTAACTTGTAAATTATGCTTTGATGCTATTGCTAGTATAATTTCATTGCCGTATGGTCACTTGACATGTTGTTCTCTATGTATTCTTGCACTTTCTAGGTGTGCTATTTGAAGAACACAAATTAAAAGCACTGTGCGGACTCAATGGTTGCTTAAGACGATTTTTTATCAGAGGCTTGATTTGCAAATACGAGCTTGTGTGACTCTGTAACATGTTTTTATTGCGGGATAGGAATAAAGGATTGGCCATAAGGTGATTGCCCTTGGCAACAACACGTCTTGGCAAGCGCCTAATGAGGACATATCATTCAGAGTAAAGGAAAAGGATATGTTAATTGGATTACGGAAGAAAGTGATGAATATAATGTAGTGATGACGGTGCCTGTGATACTGACGATATAGTTGTCACCGTACAATTGCTATGAAAAGGAACGCGGAAGTTGTGAGTGTACCAAGACGGTATTGTTTAAATATGCAGCTATTTAATCTTTGATAAAGCAGGATATGTTGGGAAAAATATCTGCTGTTGACCTTGTTACAGCTGTTGTAGAAGAAATTAAAGAAAATCTGGAATAAGATGGTAGGGATTCCGGGACAGATTAAATAACAAACAATTGAAAAAGCAAGAAACTTGTAAAATATGCTTTGGTGCTATTGCATGTATAATTACATTACCATGTGGCCACTTAGAATATTGTTCTTAATGCATTCCTGCACTGTCTAGGTGTCCTGTTTGTAGAGCACAAATTAAAGGCATTGTGCGGACTCAATTGTTGCTTAAGAACATTCTTTTAATATAAAATAATATAAATTTATAATTTAACAATGATAATGATTTATTCTGTATGATTTTATTATAAATAATTTAAAAGGCCAACTATGCCTCATAAATGCTTTTACTTCTATTTAACGAAATTTAAAGAAATTTTATTTGCACCTTTATCTTGCTAAATATCTTGAATGCAGTTGTCAATTTTTTCAATCTGGACAAAACCATTCATTGTTGGTTAAGATTTTAAGATATTTACTGAACATTTTCTTTCTGGGTAATTATTATAACGGCGGGGAAAGGGATAATGATAGATAAGTCATAATGAGATGCTCTTTGATTACATTTTTATACTGGGGTTTCATATTGTGACGATAGGATCGAAAAATGTTGTTATTTTTGCCTACGATTCAACAGAGAACGAACACCAAAACACTCGGCAGATGGATTTATACTTGGGGGTGGGGGATTTTGAATTTGTTTTGTTAGAATTCAATATCTGCTGTTGACCTTGTTACAGCTGTAGAAGAAATTAAAGAAAAAGTGGAATAAGATGGTAGTGATTCCGGGACAGATTAAATAACAAACAATTGAAAAGCAAAAAACTTGTAAAATATGCTTTGATGCTATTGCCTGTATAATTATTTACATTACCATGTGGCCACTTGGCCTGTTGTGCTCTATGTATTCCTGCACTGTCTATGTGTCCTTTTTGTATAGCACACATTAAAGATATTGTGCGGGTTCAAATGGTTGCTTAATTAGATTTTTTTTATATAAAATAATATACATTCATAATTTTGCAATGATAATGATTTATTCAGTATGATTTTATTATGAATAATTTTAAAGGTCAATTATGCCTCATAAATGCTTTTATTTCTATTTATAAAACTTAAGGCTTTTTTCATTTTGATGTACTTTTATGATTTGATTTTATGACATTTGCCGATTACCAGAACCATCTTTCTCATCTTTAGCTTTGTGGCAATATGTATAGAAGTCAAAATATTACTTTGTTAACATTTTGCGACTTTATGAAAAAGTATTTACAAGTGATAAAGTTGGCTTTTATAGTTGAAATATTATTAATTGCACTGGTTATGTAATTGTAATTTTATTAAATACTTTTGAAAAAAATGTTCTAATTGTAACTTAATTAGCGAATATTTAAAGTAATTATAATTGAACCTTTACCTTGCTAAATATCTTGAATAGATTGGCAATTTTTCAAATTGGACAGAACTATTTATTGTTAGTTAAGATTTTAAGATATTTACTGAACATTTTCTTTCTGGGTAATTATTGTAACGGCAGTGAAAGGCGTAATGCTAGAAAAGTCATAATCAGATGCTCTTCGTTTACATTTTTAAACTGGGGTTTCATATTGTGACGATAGGCTCGACACGTTTTGTTATTTTTGCTTAAGATTCAACAGGGAAGAACACCAAAAAACTCGGCAGCTGCTTTTCATTTTCGCATCATTTCACTAAATATTTTATAGAATACATGCATTGTATCAAACTTAATAGTAGTTTAATCATACAGACAAATTGTTTTTAAAGTGCTTATCAAGCTACATTTTAGCATAATGAACTTGAATTTTATCATATTATCCATTTTTGTTGGGATATCTGTATACACCTTCTCTTTGAGTATGACTTCTAAACAGGCACATGATTAAGCTGTCTTTATTTGGCTGTGATTGTTTAGTACGCACTAATCATGTATTAATGTCTTATATATGTAATCTTCTTGAAATAAATATTTATTATAATTGTAACTTTTATTGTTGTTGTTGAGACGTACAGAGAAAGAACCTAGTAATGTCATCGAAAACAATTAATATATGGATTTCCACACATGTCTATTGACATGAACCAAAAACCTAATACAGCTTCCTGGTAAAATAACGTATAATTTCATTTCAGATTCTGCAGACATTTCTTCTTACTATTGCAGTCATAAGAGGTTTGATATAAACAATGCATTTGGAGTTCACGCAGGTATGTTGCATTCACATTTGTATGTTGAGTTTCTTTTCAGGTATGAATAAAGAGCTTTCATACTCATCTGCGTCCTGATGTCTGGTTAAGTTTGTGTGCATTAAGTTTGTGTGCATTAAAAAGTATTTTTACCATTGCTTCCTTATTCCTTAATTTATCTGGTTCAAATTTCAAATACATATTCCTTCATCAACCATATTATATGTGACGGTTAATAAGTGAATAACCCTACAGGAAATAGTTTCAGGATTACTTCCCCTTGAATTTTCCTTATTTCCTTAAAAAAGTTACATTTTACTGTAACATCTTTGTAATTTATTTCAAGCTTTAAATATATGTTCTTTATCATCAACCACGTTATATGTAACAACGTTCACAACTCTAGCACCAATATGTTCATAATTATCACCCACCCCATTAAACTTAGAATTTTCCTTAAGAATGATAATCTTTACTTGGACTTCTTCATACCAAATGTGATCTACTTCAAACTTTAAATCTATGCCACATCATATGTTTCATAACTCTAGCACCAATATTTTTAGAATTATTCCTTAGAAATTAACCTTTAGAGATGTAAGTTTTTATTTTAACTTCTTTATTTCTTTAACAGTTTCTTATTATCATCAATGTGTAACAAGATTCATAACTGTAGATCTAGACTATTTATAGATTTGACTTTGTTTTTTCTTCAAATATTTGTTTTATTACCCCCCATATCATGTGCAATAAGATTCATAACTCTAGCATGACTATTTCTAGAATAATGCCCCTCTAAAACTCTTATTTTCTTAAAATAGTTGTTTACTCTTGACTTTTTTTATTTCTGAAAGGACTAACCTCAAACTAAAAAATTATATTTTATATCAACGCCAATATAATAATGAAGAGGTATATAATTTAACATTAAACTGTAACTATATAACTAAATATAAATATTTTTTATCGAATAACCTGCTCTTTCAGCTTAAAGTTTCCTTATTTTTTTGCAACTTCTAAATTTCGTTAGGGATTAACTTTAAACATCCAGTTTAATATTTGTTATGAACACCTACCTCATATTTGATTAGATTTATAAGTCTAGCACCTGTATTCACAGAATCATCTTCATTTTGAACTTGGATTTCTAAGAAAAACTTCTTTGACACTAAATATGATATTTACGTTTTAGCTCACCAGATCTGACCAAGGGTGAGCTTTTAGGGTCATCTATTGTCCGTCTACAAGTAGTCCGTTAACACTCTAGTGGTCACATTTTTGCCTTAATTGTCACCAAACTTGGTTAATATGTTTGTCCAAGTTATTTCTCTGATGGGTCATCTTGAATGAAAACTCACTGGAGCCAAAAAAACAGAAACAATCATGGAAATAGAAAACACTCTAGTGGCTACTGTTTAGATGCAAATATCCTGGAAAATTGTCAGACAATTTGTTTTGATAATTTCTAATCAAAGTTTGAATATGGGTTACGTGGGAGTAAATACTAGATCACACAACACATATATGTTAAAGCCTTGTTGGAACTCTGGAAGCTATGTTTCGGTCCAAATATGCTGGGGATTGGTCAGAATGGTTGTTTTGAGAACTTCTACATCAAGTTCGAATATAGGTCAACATGGGTAAAAAAACTACGCAAAGACAAACATCCCTAAAATGGTAAAACATTGAAGTAATATTTTCACCCTAGCTTTCTTAAAAATTGCTCATATACATGTTATGTGGTGCAAACGTTCTTGATACTTATACAGAAAAGAAATATATGTCGTATTTGATTTTTCTGTAGTCTCTTGTAACAGCTCTTACTTATAGTGTTGCACAAAATATGTTGATCTATAGGTATACATTCAGAAAATGCATGTTAGAATCGAAAGTGGAAATCTATGGTTGAGTGGTTTCAAACCACTTGCCCCTTGATCACCACTGTTGATTCGAATTTTGACAGGAACTTCGATTTCTGTAACGTGAGGAAGCTAGTCACTTTCCCTACGGAAAGTTAGTTGTTCTACCTAGATCAGGGGAATGTCTTCTTAAACTAAAAAAAACTTTTTGACATGCTAACAATCATTTATTTGTACAAAATATTATATTTGCTATATCTGTATACTTGTATGTATATTAATAATTTGATATCTAATGTTAACTGTACATGTCTGTGATAGGAAATAAATATTGTTTAACAAACTTATACATATTGTTGTGGACTTCACTGTCTGTGTTAAACATTTAAAGTTTGTCTTAAAGTTTTATGTAAAACACTAGTTCGATCACATTTTATTACATATTTAGGTTGATTCTTTTCTGGTGAATAATAGCGGATTGACTTTTTTCTCGGCTAAAAATGTTCACTGGTCCTTCGAGGTAGAAGAGAAAACTGTGCAGAATGGCACTATGCATGAGAAAAATATAAGTGTTGGAAAAAAGGATGAAAATTATACAAAAAAATATGAAGGTACTTAAGATTTTGGAAAGTCAGTCAATAAAGAATATTTGAAATGTTTGAATAAAAGATAAAAGGTTATGAGAAAAACAAAGGGGGAATATGAGCTTATTGAATAACCATTACAACGATAAAATATCTTAAATGAAATTGACAATTCTTTGTCGCCAGCAGTCTACGGGTTTATTAAATAAACCGTCAATATACGTAAACATTAAAAAAAAATGACATAACATTATTAGTTTAACAATATTTTGTCCTTCCAAATCTAACGGTATGTCATGTTTTCATTTGCTAACAGTTGAATAATAAAACAAAATAAACCTCGACAAATGTGGGCGACAAACATATACATGTACTTGTGTATATAAAGTTAATAAGAAATTAAAGCACTATTTTATTAAAATTGGTCAAGAGCTTGAACAAATGTAACGGTAGCAACTTTTAATATATGATGTCAAGAACATTATATCAGCCTTTCTTACCATGTATTCGATTAATAATGTAAAGGATATTCTTTCTAAATGTAATGACATGATATGATATGGATGGATGATTTAAATGAACAAATACAAGGAAGCATTTCAATATCATTTCCCTTTTAAACTATAGATGACTTCTTATCAGTCAAAGATCTGTGCCAATGGAATGGTATAAAGAGTGATGAAGGTTCAGTTGAAAACAAAGAAAGTCAAGATGGTAAAAACAATTCAACACCAAATGAAAATACTCCTGTCGGAACCAAACCGTTGGCGACAAGGCATAGTGATAAGGTTATTATTGTTAGTTTTTTAAGGTACTGGTTTTAGAATTTTTAAGAAATACTCAGTTTTTATCATAAAATACATGGTTTATACAAGTTAAAACAAAAACGAAAAAGTAAGTTTCAAAAGTAAGTTTTAAAAAATTATTTTGACCATACAGATCATTCAAATATACCGATATACTGATAAAGTTTAAGTCAAATATAAATCCTATAAAAGTTTGTGAAGCTGTACACACTTTTGCAGGTCAATGCAAACTTGCATATCAAAACTGAGCCTGTGGATGGTGAAAAGGAGAGATTTCAGTTTGAAATGAAAGAATCATGTTCTATGGATAATGTTAAAAATGACAAAAGAAAATCCGAACACAGTTTTAACTCAGAAAAGACAAGCAACTTGAGCACTGGAGAGATGGGAAAACAGTCAATGCTCAAGGTAATCTTAATTGAGCTTAAACAGCATTATGGATACTTGTCAATAAAATCTTTGAAACAAAAAATATGTTGTTCACATGTCTAGTGATGTTTAATAATACAATGTATAATATTTTTGTTGGTATAAAGAATTGTGTATGCAAATGTCAATCAATGGTAGGCCGTTCTTTTCGTGGAATAGCCTCTTTGTCTCTGTTTATGGCTACTAGTAAATGTGTTTTACATATCACTATAATTACGAATATGCTTATGCTAAATACACTGAATTTTAAGGACAACCTGTTAGTATCAAACTCAAGGTTCATTGTATCGTTTTATACCTATACACTGCTGTCTATATCACCAAGACTTCAAAGAGACAACATGGTCAAGTTAAACAAAGAAGCAGATTTATTGCAAACAGCAAGGGAGAAGCATATTATGAAACTTGTGAAAAAGAACAGGATTGCATAAGTTTTGCCATTATATTCGGTAGCTGTCTGAAAATAGAAACATCTAGAAAGGTAAATGTCTAAAAAAATCCAATCATGTTTGCATTATACATTTCTCAAATCAAAAATGCATTTTAGCCTACGCCAGGGGCATGGACGGAAGTAATACAATACCACTGCCCTCATTGAACAAGCTCTATCAAATCGAAACCGGATCATTTTTCAATTTTGCGATGTTAAAAGTTTCCAAGTTTTCATTTTGATATTTCTTTTGTAATGGACCAATATTTCAGAAGTATAAAATTGACAAAATTATCATTATGATGATGAATGCTCAAAATGACAATATCAATGTGTATCTTATTTTTAATATTTAACAGGCGATCTTATTGCTGCTGTTGATAGTGAGTGGACTATGTCCGGCATCGCCTGCCGCTATAAATAATGACCCGAAATCCCAACGCTTGGAAGAATACCGACTTCTATTAACCTCACAATGCAACTACAGGGACTTGATAAGATCAGAGTCATGCCACAAGAACGAAATATCACGAAAAACTTACATCGATTTTTGCCGTTTTGAGGACCTTTGTGATAATAATTCTCAACCTACTTGTGTCGACGGCGAAGGTGGAGGAATGCTTCATATATGCTCTCCGAAAAACCTTACTTGTCCAAAAGGTAAAATCTCTTTAAGGGTTAAGTAAATAGAAATAAAATAATCGAAACAAAGGTCGAAAAGTATACACATTGTCTCATCGTGAATGTTTTATAAAGATATCGTTTAATGATTATGAATTTCTATTGGATTCGATTTAACACTTTCATATTTGATAAAAAGATAGTTCACCATATTGTTATCTTTGTCTATTTATAAGGTTTATTGTTATCTTACAGGTTATAGAAGGAATGCATGGCTTGATAATGATACCGATGTAGTTCATGTGACTGAGGAAAAATGCCCACGTGGGAGATACCAGCCAATAGAATCAAATTGTTATGTCTCGTGCTTGAATAAACATTGGGATTTGCAAGATCTGCCGGAACAATTTGCCTTATATTCTGTTGGTGACAATATATCACCAACTTGGATCTATTGCGATTTTGAGAAAGGTTTTTACAACATGGATGGGAAATTTCTACTTGCATATGATAATCATTTTGTGCACTATCCTTTTTTCTGTACTAGCGTTTCCGATATCAACCCATGTTCTAATGGAGAATATCCGCTTCCAAGTAAGTATTGTCACGTTTTATATTGATTTTAATCTGTCATTATTTCTTGTCAATATTAGTAAATTTAAAAATATTCTAAACAATATGAACTAGCAAAACATCATTAAATTTTTATTACAGACAGTACATGTATTGGTTCTTGCATGAAAGGCCTTGAACGAGATGCCCATGACGGATTCAAGTGCACAAAAAGTTGGTAAGTTAAATCTATATCCTATTCGATATAGTTTACTTTATTCAAATGTCAGTAGTAAATTCAAAATATAGCTTGGAACTATAAAGCTTTTTAATTTATATATATAAATCGAGTTTAATGAGAAGGATGATTTAATAAACGTAATTCGTTTTAGACAAAAAGACAAAAGAACTATTTAGATTTAATTCCAGAAACATAACTACCGTTCAATGTGATTAACATTTAAAATTCCCTAAAGTGTTCGAGTATATAATATGTACGATGAAAAAAAAATGTATGCTTAATATTAAAGGAATGGAACCGATGTAATCACACAGAGTGAATTTTCTAGTGAAAAAGGTATTTTATAATTTATCTATATGCTTATATTGTTTATTTGTTTAAAACATTAATGTTATCAGTTTTATATGTTATATTTCGATTAGAATGTATTCTAAGTTTTTATTAGCCACACAATCATCCTCGAACAAATTGATTCATTAATGGACCTTATTAATGTTTACATTTACATGCGAGCTTTCTGAGAATATAGCCAACAGCTACACTTGGATAATACATTGTCACTAAGTGACAAAATGATAATCATTGAATAGAAAAGAGGCAGTTAAATGTTTAAAATTGGAAAGGTCCGTTTTATCGGAGCACAAAAATGTATGTATTGTAAAATGTTAGTATTTTGTTTTATTACATGTGATTGGTCACTTGTCTAGAATATTTATTATTTAAAATACAATTATAGCATACCAGCAAAAAACTAGCAAGACGGATTCTTCAACCACGGGGCCAATCGAAAATACCATACCAACTGAGGTAAATCAGAATTTAACACAAGTAAATAATTATTATGTACAAAGGAGGAAAGTTTGTCTATAACAAGTTTTTTTTAATTATTTATGTTTACTTATTTACACACGAAATTTAACAGATGGCCAAGTAGATAGTAAGATATTTCCTGAAAGATATACTTTGTTTATATTTTTTTAAGTAAAATTACTTTAATTAATTGCTATATAGGAAAACCATACTGTTTTAATTTGTCTTATTTAAATAAGAATCAAGCTGTGTAAGTATATGATTTGCATGTGCGATATTTTTATACATGTAGTAGTAGTAGTAGTAGTAGTACTACTACTACTACTACTACTACTACTACTACTACTACTAATAATAATAATAATAATTAACTCTTTATTTAACGACCGGAGGGAACTTAAACACTAAGACTGTACATTAAAGCAACAACGATTACAAATTTAATGCAAAATCCTATTTTCAACAAGTGATAAAGCTTCTTTTTAATTTCAAACGTTAACAATGTTAATAATTGCACCTCACAACATCGCTGCTTTTAAGAAATGACAATGAACTGTACAAATAATGTCACCTAAGCATATATTGTTGTTTTTAGGATCAAATAAAATCAAATATTTAGTATTTTTTTTAATCAATCAACAGGTTCAACACTGACCTTCTCATTAAAGGGTATCATTAATATATTTTTATTTACTTACCACCACATTTTCTTTTTTATCACCTCTATCATATATCTTGTACCTCATTTTCGGACTTCAGTTAACCCTTTCAATGTTTCAGTTAACCCTTTCAATGTTTAATGTAAAATACTTTTACTTTTTGCACCTGTTATTTGTCTTGATATTTATACTTCTGTTTGGGTATATTATTAAACATGATCTCTTTTACTTCATATACATTTTGCTTTCTATTGTCTCTATCTGTATGTCGAGGTTTACAATTTCAAATTCGCTTAGCAAGTTTTATCATATTCATATTTTTTTTGAATTATATTAAATTGAATCATACTTTTTAACAAAAATGTTAAAATAACAGACATTGATTTTTGAAAGAAATGTAACCCAATCAAATAATGCATAAGCCTACTTTGACATAAAACAATCAATGAATATATAATATATTCTAAATTCAACAGCAGCATTACATCTTGTTAGATTTTTTAAAAAAACATAATCAATGAAAATGTTGCTGTTGCAGAGAGGAAATCATAAACCAAATGACGAGAAAGGACCCGTTACAACAACTTTACAGACATTTGTTATTGCAGGTAAAGAATAAAGTTTTTTTAATCGCAGTGTAGGACAATGAAATTACTTGAACCAGATTATTTTTGAAAAGTAATACACCGGCAACTTATAAAATGATTACTTTTGAGTACTCATAAGGCTGTTTAGAGTAATTTATTCAACGGATGTGATATAAAAGTTATAGCAAAACTGATTTTGTCTGGTCGTTGACATTGTTAAGAATCAAATCATATAGGCCTAATTAAACAAACGTTTATTATTTATTAAAGCAGAATTCACGTATGAACATTTAAAGAAATTTCCTATAGTATTTTTACATAGGAAAGGAAGAAAACATTAACCTAGCAAATAGGCTTTTTTACTTTTGCATTATTACAGAAATGTCTTAAATGTAACAAATAATTTCATATAATTCAGCAAATGTCTATCATGACAGGGAATGAAGTAATTAATTCTCTTTTTTCGTGCAAAGTTTTAGAAAATTCTTTCCACAAGTTTTCATTTTCCTTCATTTTTCTATTTAAATAGAGCAAAAAAACTGTTGGAAACATCTTTAACAAAAATTCATGATTACGTATATAATGTGTATAAAATATTTTCAGTTTTAATCGGAGTTGTTGTGCTTATTGTTATGGTAACTGGTTTAGTGATCTCTTTTCTTCAACACAAGCAAAACAGAAGGTAGGAAAATGTTTTTGGTCATTACTTACTTCTTTGTATGCCTGAAAAATGTCGTCTGTTAAAAATGTATTTGCTCGTTTTTAAACTGATTTAAATTTCATCAAACTGTCTCTAAACCGAAAAAAAAAAACATAGCATGGTGCTTGACAAGAGTTGAGTTTCTCAGCGTATGGTCTTTGCAAAGACTATTAAAAAGGGTAAAAAAAAACGACTGGTGATTTTGACCAACTGATTTTCGTTTACGTTAGGATTATTTGAACTACATGTGCACATCAGAGTCGAGTACAAAAACTCCTTACATATGTGTTTAAGGCGCTTCATGGACAGGCACATACGTACATACGAAACATGCTAGACATTTGTATCCCATCCAGAAAACTTAGGTCTCAGAATGGTTGCTTAGCACTTGTTGTACCGCGTAGTAGACTTATGGTGATCGTGCTATGACGACAGCCCCTTAACTCTGGAATATCCTACCTAGAACACTTTAAAGCTGTGAAACTCTAACAGTGTTTAAGAGAGCACTTAAAACTCACTTATTTAAGAGTTTTTATTTGGACTGATTATATTTTAGGTTCGCTAACAATTCTCAAGTCTTACCTGTATTTTATTATTTATGTGGGCCTTTTAAACTTTTGAAACCACTTTTGTTTTGAATTCGTGATTTGAGCAATATTGATGTTTTAATTTGTTTTTTAAATATTGTATCATATATTTGGTTATACTGAACAGTACTTTTGAACGTGCCAATGTGCATGAAAAAGTGCTTAAGAAGCTTGGCATATAATAATAATAATATTTAAAAATTTACTGGACATACCATGAGTGTGCTTTCAGTTAGAAGATTATTAGTTATATTTTATTTTGGTTCCCTTATTCATAACCCTCTTTTTATTTTGGAAACATAAAAAACCTATCTTTGATCCATTTCGTCATTACTTGTTAAAATGTTTTGATTAAATACATATTGTTCTCTTGCTAAAACTTCGGCACATACCATGTCAAATAAGATAGAGTTATTACAAAATTATGTGTTTAACACAAATTTGTTATGTTTGGTAGTAAAATCACCAACCAGACAAGCTTCAAGAAAACGAAAAACAAGACCATTATTGAACAGGCTGGAAGTGTCAATATTTACCATGGGCCGCTAGAGATGCAGAATGGTGGTACTTTAAACACGTCGTTTGAGATGCAAGTATGTGTCTCTTTACGCCAGTATAAATGATATGAAATTTAATATCTGAATAGCATTTGTTCTATAACTATTGAAAAATACAAGTACTTGCTTTTTTATTCTCTATAAGTGACAAAGCAAAGCAGATACTTGAAAGTAGAATATGTCTATTCTCAATAATAATAATAATAATAATAATGATAATAATAATATGATGATGATAATGATAATCTGTGATTAAGATCTGTGATTAAGATCTGTGATAGGGAATTCCGAAAAAAGGATAAGGAATTAATTGATAAGTAGGTGGTAATATATCTGAAATATTCAATTTAATTTAATTCAAATTTATACTTAATTTAATTAGAGACTGATTGGTTCAGTCTATTTTTTCCAGCGTTTTCTCCAAGGAGAAGAAGAAGAAAAAGATGTGTGATGTTTTGAAAAGACCATTTCGTGACATCCGTTCATGACATTATAATACTTTTTTTATCATATATATATCATGGATTAAAAACTGTTGTGACATAAATGGATATCAACACAGCGTGTTTTCATTAACATGCTTATACCGCATAATTGAAACATACACATTTATAATCATTATATTTGCGATTTAATTTTTTTGAAGCTTTACACAATGACGTATAGTTTAAAAAAGTTGGAAACATTGATGGAACCAACAAACAACGACAACAAGAACAACATCAAAAATGAGCAGGAATTCTCGGCTAAGAAGTATCTAATCAAAATGCTATATGCGATTCTTATTCTTGATTCTAACCTAATTTTGATCTTATGAATCTTATTCGGTTTTGTGTTTCGATTAAAAAAATATTGACTGTTATAAAGTGTTTTTTTTTCATCGTTAACTATGTGAAATGTACGGAAGCTTGTATATAATGTCTAATTATATTGAGAAGGTCGTGTTGTGGATAACAGACACAGATGAGCAATATGGATATATTTAGAAAATATTCTTTCGGAGTTGATGATGATATATATCCTGGATTACTTTTAGAAGACAATTATTCTGTTTGGAATCTAGAAGACCTAGGCATTGAGGCTAAGAAAATGTCTTTAAAATACCAATTTTGTTAATTGTTCCTCTACACTTTTATTATGAGCACTTATCACGTGTTTATAATGATTGAATACATGTACTTAGCTTAGATGTTAGAGCTTTATGTGACAAAACTTCATGTTTATAAACAATTAAGAAAATTGATTTTTGAATGAAATTATATTACGTTATTATTAACGTTACACTTGATTAAGAAGTAGTTAAATGCTTATGCTTTGTAGTTATAGTTCAACTCAGCAGATGGATAGTATTGTGTTGTGTATATTTCAATATCCTGTTTTATGCATTATCAACTTGTTCTTGTATACAGATTTATTATTTTGCTATATTTAAAAGCAACCGTGACAAAACAGTTTTATGTATTAGTGCTGATGAGATACGTGTTAATTGATCAGTTTAGAATTTTTTTCTTCTTCTTGTTCTTTTATACGAGCATTCCAAGTTACAGTATGTCTGTACTTATATCATAATTAGAATAAAGTTATCACAAAGTTTTGACTGGATGAATATAAACTGATTTGGTTTAAATGACTGCTTATACAATTTGATCATTGCAGTAGATGAACAATCATTTTTACCATAATGTGTAGACATACAAATATCTCCTGTAAAGTTGATGTCAGATAACTGGAAAGATTTGTTAAGTAAATTTGATTTCTAAAGTGCATACTGTATTGGTTAATATATTCATCACGTAGTAGTAACATGACTAGTGAGTAAATTCTATAAGTTGACTGAGTGCATTTTGAAATTCATTGAATACTATCTGTCAATATTTATAAGTTTAATATCGTTCTTCAAATAAATTACGAAACAGAAATTATGATCTTATTTAAATGTGCACTGGGCACATACTACTGAAATATGTTGAAATAGAGTAAAACCAGCATCCATCTGTTTTATTAATAAGCAATCGTCCGATTAAAAAGGGAAGGAAGAAAAAAAGAAGATCTTAAATCTGGAAAAAGTGACAAGGCATTTACAGAAATGAATTTATACATTTATTTGTGGTGCATATTACCAGGAACATATTAAAATTGTTTTTCATGCATATTCTTCATTTTTGTGTTTAAAAATAAAATGAAGTATTTATTTTAAGCAGTAAACACAGCTTATTATGAAAACCTTTCTATCTTATTTCTCAACCGCTACCCGCATGTCACCGCGATCGCCTTTCATATCTCACTGATCACAGGTCACTCAGTGCGTCGTCTGTAAACTCACCGCTCCTTCAGTTTACACTCCGTAAAATGGTTTCCTGTAATGGGTATATCTCCTTTACTTTGATTAAAAAATAGCATGTATATAAAATGTGCAACCTATATAACAATTAATTATAAACAATAACGTTTTAAAATTAATGTATGTATTAATGAATGATTTAAGGCGATGTATTTTAAAGTTTATAGTTAGATGCTATATTTAGTAATGTTTGGGTTTTTCCTTACACTATTTTTGAGTCTACGACGCAAAAATTTTTTCTGTATAAGTAGTTAACAAAGTTATCGTACACCCATTACTTCTAAACACAATTTGAAGTAAAAGCGTGACTTTAAACATATATTTTTTCATTCATTTCATGTAAAACATAAAACAGATTGACGAAAGGATATTTACTTTTTTCAAGCGTTTGTCTATCACCGTAGCACATTTAATCCAATACGTAACTTACTTAAGAGAAAGCTCGGTTACTAAAGAAAGAAAATGGTGCAAGAAAAAGTTACTTTTGTAAACGAGGAAAGTAACCTGTCTCCAACATATGGAGAGCACGAGCAATCACCAGACGATGAACCAGACCAAGTTCCAGGTAGGGATTCATTTACATATTATAAAGCATCATATATTTATTAACTGTAATATTATATGCATGTTTCTGTGCTTCATATGATATTTTGAGCAGAAACTTTATAAGTTTTTTAATACACAACTATAAATTTGCTGTTCTATCATCGTATACCTCGTTTTAGACGTTTCAATCTGACTTATCAAGGGAAGTAACGCTTTTCGAGATTCATTTATTTTTTATCCTTTTATATACAACTTAAATTAGAATAACACCTGGCATTTTGTTTTTCAGTTTAGACGGTAGTGTAATTGACTAAAGATTCTTTCATAATGATTTAATTAAAAATAAAATTAATGAAATAAATATAAACACGTTTACAACTGAGGTTGTTCTGATCGATGATTTTAACTATTTAGCAGAAGAATAACTCATTTATTTTTCCAAGCTATATGATAAATTATAACGAGTTATATACTAAGATTTATAATTACAATCCAGATATTTTACAAATAAATGTATAGTTTCGTATGTATGGATACATGTCTTTGTGTTGATTACTTGCTTCTTAGATTATGTCACTTTTTTCTCTTATGACATCAAAACTGTTTATTCCAGAACATTCTTCCTAAAACTTTAACTTTTAATCAGACTTACATAATAATCATAATTTGATTATAAATACGCATTTTTTTCCAGGGCAGATAAAACAACCCGATAGTTGTATGGCAATTAATGAGGGAAAAGTTTTAAATGAAAACTTGAGATCAGACGAGCTTTCAGAACACGTAGATGAAATCCAAGAAGTGAAGGCTAAGGTAACAAACAAAGTTTCAAGTTTATGAAAAAATCTTCAAATCCTTTTATTTTTTCTTTGCGTCTATAATTTGATCGTAAGATTTTGAAATAAACTCCTTTGCAACACGTATCTTTGAAACATTATTGCTTGATAAAATATATATTATACATCATATGTTACGGTTAATCTATAGGTGATATTTTCTGTTTTAGGAGGATGAAGGCAATCCCGAGATCAAAAAAGTAAAGAAAACTCTGGAGAAAAATCTGCAAAGTTCTTCCAAAGAGGAGACTAATCTTTCAGCAACACTAAGTTATTTTGTGGAAAAAACACCTTGCATCAGCTTTTCTTTTGCATTTTTGCTCCTGACTTGTGTTCCAGCCCTATCAGTGAGAACTGAAAAAAAGGTTAACACTTATTTAGATAGTTTATAAAAAAACTACCAATCCTGTATTATAAAGTGATGCTCTTCCTACTAGAACTAACTAGTATTGAAATGCTCGGATTGAAATATTAACCTCTTTGTTTTCTCACATTTAATGTACATTTATATATCAATTCTGAGATTTTTGCCACGTTATTCTAAATGCTATTTTAGCCATTTTCTTTCATTATATAAATACATTTGAAATATTTTACGTCTGATAAAAAATTATAAATCATAGGCTGATGTCATTTTCTTTTATTGTATTATTCAGGCACTTCTATTGTCGACGTCCGTATTTCTTGTACAACTTTTGATGGTTACAGCATCTCCTATCCAGATCACTAACCACACACCTAACGAATATGAATACAAGATACTGCAGACACCACTATGTAACGGCATCAGGTTTATGAGACCCCATAAATGTGAAAGAAACGAAAAAATGTTTAACATCTACATTGAGTTTTGTGGGTTTGCGACTATGTGCGATCCTGAATTTAAACCAATTTGCATAGATGGAGATGAGGATGAAGCATTATACTTTTGCTCCCCTAAAGTTATTACATGCAAAAAAGGTAGGCCACTAGATAAGCATTTACATTAAAACAAATCGTTTGCAGTGAATGGTGATTTTGATTCAGTTATTGATAAGTTACATTATACTTTGTTTTAATACATTTCTTTCTATGTCGAAAAGCTGATGTTATCTTTGATAATTTAAGGCTACAGAAGGAAGGTCAGAAAAAAAGAAGCCGATTCCGATCTTGTGATTGTGCAAGAAGAAAAATGTCCACCAGGGACGTACCAACCTTCTGAATCCGACTGTTATAACTCATGTGCTAACAGACATGAAAATCTTGAAGACCTTCCAAACCAATATGCTGTTTATAGCAATGGAGATAATGCATTTCAGACTGAACGGATTACACCGGTGCAAATTGAAAATACTTTTTCGCAGAATTGGCATGTTACAGTAATCATAGGTAAATAATGTTTTTACGTTTTATTTTTCGCTAAACTGTATGGATATTAATGTGAAGGAAATTAATTTAAGTTCGTGATAATATGTTTGTACATGTATAAATGTGCATATTAACAGATTGTGTAAAATTATTAACACTACAAATAAATTTTTTGACAAATGATATTTATTCATATATAGCCTTATTTTGCTTTTATTTCTTTATTTTAGTAATGGTTATTGCTGCCCTCCTCTTTACTGTAGGAAGCATAGTTGTTATTTGCTGCACCCGAAAAGGAAGTACATGTATGTAAAAATACTAATTCAAGTCGGGAGAGTTCAGCTTTAAGAAATGCCTTATCTAGCGTTTGCAGAAAATTCCAAATTATTTGACTTTATCGAGAGTTTTAATATGACATTTTGCCATGGACAAAAATGTTTTGCTGGAATTCATTTATTCGGATTTTGTTAATTTGTGTTTTGTTTATATTGTAGCTTGTATTTTCTTTTCATGAATATTGTTTATATGTTATATCATTTACTCTGATAGCAAATTACGGTTTAGATGTTATAAAAATATAAATTAACACTTTGATTCGTGCATATTGTGTGTAAAAAATTGATATAATATATGATTTTTTTAGTTGAAACCTACATCAATACGAATAAAAAATGTTTTTGAATATTAAGTAAAATCTAATCATTAAGAATAGCAAATAAAAAACTTTATCTTTGCAAATGTTAAATCGATAAAACAATTTTAAAAGAGAAGTTTTTACCAATTGTTTTCAGCTGTAAGATGGTATCAATAATTATGTTACAATTTTTAATACTGTCAATGGTATGCTTATCTTTTTTTCCTTATGTATCAATAATTGTTTTTCTTTTATTATTCGAAATAAATTTGTATTCACCTTTTGATTTGGGTTATATTTCCAAATGTGCAATAAAATGCCATTTTTAATAATAATATTATATAAAATCATTAAATCCTTTCGTCAAACCCTGTGCCACTGATATGCGTATGACAAGTCGCATGAAAACTCACCCATTTGGTTTGGGAATAAAAAGACAGAAATTAATTCAATGAATTCACGTTTACAGAATGAATAATGTCTAGATAAAGATCTTAACCGACAAAAAAAAATGCAGTTTTCGGTGTTGAAATTGAAATCACAACATTTGATTCTTACATGTTATGACAATTTTATATACTGCAATATATTTCATGAAGTTTTATCTTTCCTGTAAGCTTGATCATGACACATTGATATCATCCATTGCAGTAAAGAAAACAATCATTTTGAAATCTACATTATAACAAAAACAGAAAATTTATTATTAAATTGATTTCAGTATATAGAAAATATAAATGGTTGATCAAAATTCCTTGTACAAAAGACAGAACAACATTATATACATTGTCAAATCTAGCATGAATTCATACAGCTCTATATATTAATTGTACACTTTTTTCAGTATCTTTCACACTCTATTTTGAGATTAGATGAACACAGCAGATATTCCAAATTGATTTAACGTTAAGGATATATACTTTGCTCATATTTGGGTAAAATACTTTCCTTGCATTTAGAAAATTCTTACAGATATGTCTAATTTGAATAAATGAATGCACAAATTATACATAAGAAACTGCCTTCCTATTTATTTGTCAAAACTAATTTGACGTTTTCTTAAAAAAAAACAACAACAAAAAATCAACTGCCAAATTTTTAATGACACTATGTATTCATACTGGGCTACGCGTGTCAAGTTCAAAACGTTAAATAATTATCTTCTCTGTGTGTATTCACAATATGTAATTTTTCATTTATGATAAGACTGTATAGCAAGAATCAGTATTTTCAAATAGAAAATTTGAGCATAGTATTTCTTCAATGCCTTATGAAATTTACAGGTGTTAGAAAGAGCTAGTTAAATGCATAAAAATATCTGTCCTTTCTTTTAATTTCTTAATTAATATTAAGATGGTATACTTCCATCTTTTGGTTGAGAATTCATTATTAGTTGGCATGATGGTACCATTGATTTAATAATTAATTACTTAAATAAGAAAGAAAAAAATCAGTACAAAAGGAAATTTAAACAGTACCCCACAACTTCTAACAAATATACTTTGATAGTTCTTTAGAATTACATATCATTCGTTACATGCATAGTTGTAAAAGTTTATATTTTTTTTTTTGCTTTTTTATATCTATAATGATCTATGTAATTCAATAGCTTTACTACACTGAATCGTACAAGGGTAATCTAAGATTAAAACATCACACCTTGATATCTGAATCCATATTAATTTGGTAATATAATCCAATGGTAAAATATCACATTTTAAAGAATATGACCAGAAAAAACCCTGCACAAAACAACAGCTTCCTATTCTAAGACAGTCCGATATCAATTTTTAAGCATCCTACAGTTTTTAGATCCAGATCTGATTCGTTGCAGTAATAAAGTTTTCTATTTTGTTCTGGCTGTCCAAATATTTATGTACATTATTTGTTTTTGTTTACATTTCCCATGTGAAAACTAAAGACAACTTGTAGTTTCTCACTCCCCTTAAGAGCTATGCAAATAGACAAAACCGTTCCTCGTTTTTGATACAATAGTTATGTGCAAATATTTTTATTCTCGATATATTTACTCGTCTCACTACCATTTATATCTGTCTGTTTTACTTTATAAAGTTTCTTTGATTTTGCCTTTGAACATTCAATCAACTCTGCCTTCCATTCAAGTATAAACACTATATTGTGTTTTAATATCTTATCTTTATTTGTCTTTGTCTAACCAGCAGCACTTATCCTTATGTTTATGGCAACGCCTGTTCCTTCTGGTTTCCCCTGCCAAATGTAATACATGTATGTATAAACTCTTTTCCAAGAGCTCGGTATTTCAAATTTTAACTCGGGAATATCAATTCCCATTGTTGTATGGCCTTTGCATGATGATATATGTGCCGATTTACTCTCAGATTCTTTATTTTTACAATCAGTCATATTATTCCCTGACGTTGATTGTCTCCAGTTTCCTTTTATACACCGACCATAATCTATGCACCCATAATGTCTACTCTTTCTTTTTAAACTTCTACTTTTATTTCCCATGAATAACATGACCAAATCTTGGTTCTTATCTTGATTTTATGTGATATTATAGAATATGATACAACTGAGTCTTTTTTTGACTTCACTTTTTATTTGATGAAAAATAGTAGTGCGGGCGTCCTCAGGTCACAAATTTTGTGAACTGTTTTGATCCTTGTGTAGAAATTACGTTATCTTCTATTTTGTATTATAAACTATCTTCCTTTGTTTACTTTTCCCTCTAGTATTTTGTCACGAATTCATATGTGTTAAATTATTAATAAATGAGGCTATCCAAACACATTTAATCATCATATTCTTACATGTCCAAGTTTGGTTTACTTTATTCCCAAAACAATTATTACATTTTGGTTTTAGTATCGTCTTGTTCATAGGTATATTTATGCAATATTCGTCTTAAACCACCACAATAATACTTGCCGTGTCAATTTCTAAATTTAAGTCATTGTTACATAATTATCTTGATAATTGTTGCATAATTTTGTCTTTGTCATTCCCATTGTATTTGTCCTGCTTGTAAATAATTACACGCACTATTTAACTAAGGACGTAGTGCCAATTGCCATGTGCAATACATAACTAAAAAGGACATAACTAAAAAGAAATTTAAATTATTGCTTCAATGAACTCATAATCGTCAGAGTTATGGTTTGCAATTTCATTTTCTATACAACGCATTATGCTACATTATATAACATACTGAAAATTTAATTATAATTATAAATATTATAAACAATTCTACAAAAGCGTGTTAAAAGATCAACACTGAGGTTTAATAACACATATACATCAAAATTTGAACTTCTCACATAGATGAGCTAGGTCTTTTAAAACTGTTAGTCAAAATCATCCGTTATTTATACCATTAAAGTGACATGCTTATCTAAGAGTTAATGAATAGCGAACATTTATGAAATAAAAATTACTAACCATATTGATATAATTGTGTTAAATGTTTTATTTTACTGAGAAAATTAATCAAAATGATAGTCAATAATCAACGTGACCAACGAAAAGTTCTACAAATATCACTCAGAATATATCTGTAACGCTCTAGTAATGTACCTTTTTATATTATATCATACATTTTTTATGATCAATTATTCATTAATCATAATTACAACAGCAACTTTTCAAGTCACTTCTCGACTGCGAAAAATGAGGATAATATCACTTCAATCAAATTATAAATACAAACATGTATTATGTAGGTGTTATGCAGTTATTAACTTTTCTGGATAGCAAAAAACATCAAAGTTTAATAGATTAACATAATTATAATTTTCTGTTATTTAACTGGTTAGTGTTGACAAATTTAAGCTTCTGGTTAACTAGGAAGTCAGGTAATTCACGTGTAATTGATGTCATAAATGTATCGCTATACTACACAGGTTGGGAAATGATCAAGTTCCAAAAATGCTACATTTTATTTTCGGTTTACATCGGACCATTTAAAAAAGATCAAACGGCGACTTTCCAGCATAACTGATGGAAGAAGACCTTAGATATCTATTCGTGCATTATTTCAGGAATGATTGACCACCGACGTTTTAAGCTAGCCACATAGTTTCATCGAATTAAGTCCCTAGTTAGATTCGGTCCCACAGCGGTAAGGGTCAAATTGTTTGAAGTCAAGTCGACCTGGACGCCCGTGAATATGCAACATGACATACATCTCTCATTTCAAATTTTATCTTTTCAGATGGACATAAAATTGAACTTAATTTTGCTGTTTTTTTGTACATTTATCATTCAATCATCATATATTCAATGTGTATAGTGCAAACATGTTCAATGCCATTTTTATCGGCTGGAATGATTGTGTTATACAATACAGAAATATGAAGGTACTAAGCAAATTGTCTTCTGACTTATTTATGGAAATGAAGTGTATAAATGCAGAAATATTGTTTAAATTTTGAAAAGATATAACAGTAAATGGCGCATCCACGCAATCATTATTAACAACTGTACTCAAATAACAGCAAAATATATATTATGTTTCGAAACATTTACTCTGTTCACAATGACATTCCATGTTACATCTCTTTCGAAAATCGACCATACAAATTTTGTAAAGAATAATATTTTACCGTTAGTAAATGTTTTTACATTACATTACATATATCTTTTGACTTTCAAAATACTAATTTGTAAAATTAAATAAATAACGTTTTGCTGAAATTGTTTCCAGAAATGTTAATTTTTAAAGATATTTAAAGATATCATACTATACATTATTATTCGTTCGAATTAAAAAAAATATCATAATAATTATGATAATGCTTGTATATATCTAGAAGTAAAAAGAAGTCAACTTACAAACAAAACCGAGTTCCTTTCTGAGATTGAAAGTCCTTGTTTGTTCATTAATTATTCAAACCAAATATTACAACAAGTAATATTGCACGTGTATTAGGCAATGCTTCACAATTATTTCTGAAAATGAATACACTTAAACTATTTATATATATGATTACGTATTTGGAATCCCCATGATCGCGTTTCAAATAAGTTTGAAACATGCGTAAATCGTTATCACATTCGTAATTCCCCGGCTGTTGCCGTACAACTTCGGATAAATAACTCAACACGGTATCATGAACACGATATTCGGTCTAATCTACACTACACAGTTTTAACATGTTAACAAATAGTATATAAATGCAGGTATTTATTTATTTCAATGTAGCATTGAATAAAAGAAATCAAAGTAAAGCATGAATTATTTTTATGCTCCCGAAAGGCGACATATTAAAATCGCACCTTCCGTCTGTCTGTCTGTGCGTC